ATTCACTATGATATTTGGGGGTCTACACAGAATATCAATCTGGTCATAAATGATTTGTTACTTTTATTGATTGTTATATTAGATTAACATGGATTTATCTATTAAAAGCAAAAAGTGATGTGTTCTCATATTTTCAATCATTTTATAAAATTATATATACACAATTCGATACCAAAGTTGAGATTCTAAGAATAAACAACAGTAAAAAATATATGAATAGTGGATTTTGTATCTACTTGGAGTTTAATAAAATAATCCATCAAATGAGCTGTGTCTGCACCAATGAACAAAATGGTATTACTGAAAGGAAAAACAGACACATACCAAAAGTATCTTGGTCTCTTATCATCACCATGAATCTACTGAAAAACTATAGAGATGCTGTTCTTTTAGCCAACTATCTTATAAACAGAATGTCTTTAGGAACTCTTAATTTTAGAAGTCCTTTGGAGGTGATGTAAGGAAAAATTCATATACTATTCCCCCAAATGTGTTTGGATGTGTTTGTTTTATCCATACTAAAAATGTGAAAAACTTTGAATTCAAAACTCTTAAATGTGTATTTATTGAAGATTCCTCTACTCAAAAATGTTGAGTGTTATTATCCTCTGTCTATAAAATACTTTATAGCAATGAATGTTACTTTTACGAATCCGAGCGTTATTTCAGTTCAAACCTAACACTTCTTAATGGGAGATAGCAAGAAGGAAGAGGTTATGTCGAGTTTGTTAACTTTTCACAATCATATTCAGGGGAAGAGTTCTACTTCGAAAGGTTTCATTCAAGAAGATAATGTCGAGCACCTAGATAAACCAGACTTGAACAGGTATTCAAGAAAAAATAAGATAAAGAATGTCATCATGCAGTCTGTCTCAGGTCAAAAATCTTCTTCAGTTCTATGGAAATACTAGTGAGTTACCTTTATTTTGTTATTTATTTGATGATATGGATAAGTCAATTGCTCTTAGAAAAGCAGTTAAGTCTTACATTAAGTATCATCTACCTAACTTTATTTTTTATGACTCTTCATCTCCCTCTTATAGAGTCTTTGTCTTTTCTAACTCCTTTATATTTATTCCACATGATTTTAGAGAAGCTCTACAAGACCCCAAATGGAAGGAATTCATGATTGAAGAGATGAAATCTTTGGAAAAAAATGAAACCTAAGAGTTTGTTTCACCTCCACTAGGAAAGAGGTATTTACTATAAAACACAAAGCAGACGAGTCGATCGAAAGGTACAAAACTAAATTGGTGATTAAAATGTTTACTCAGACCTATGGAATAGACTATCATAAGAAGTTTGCACCTGTCGCGAAGATGAATACAATCAGAATATTGTTATCTTGTGAAGCTAACTTTGATTGGGACTTACAACAGTTTGATGTGAAAAATGTCTTCTTCTACAGATACTAAGAAGAGGAGGCATACATAGAGATTCCCCATAGATTTGAAGATGAAAAACACAAAGGAAGATTTGCAAATTAAAGTAGGCCTTATATGGAATGAAACAGTCTTCAAGAGCATGGTTTGAAAGGTTTAGAAGAAATCTAATCTCTTTTTTATTTCAACAAAACAATGTTGATCATATTCTGTTTATTAAACATTATAAAAATAAGATTACTCTTCTCACTATTTTTGTAAATGATATTGTTGCCACTGGAGAAGATACAAGAGAGATGGTTCAATTGAAAGAACTTCTTACTCAAGATTTTGAAATAAAAGATATAGAAAAATTACAGTATTTTTTTGGAATTGAAGTTGTTAGATCTAATAAAGAAATATTCATTTCTAAAAAAAAAATATATCCTACACCTATTAGAAGAGACTGGTATGATAGGCTGAAAGCCAGCAGAGTCTTTTATTGAAAGCAATTACAAACTACAAGCGAGAATTAGTGCATCAGTAGACTTGGGGAGATATCAGAAATTGGTTGGAAGACTCATTTATCTCTCACATATTAAACTTGTTATAGCATATACAGTCAGCCTGGTGAGTCAGTACATGCATGATCCTCGCAAGTCTCGTTTACATGCCGTCCTTTACATATTGAAATATTTAAATTATGCACTAAGAAAAGGATTATCATTCTTCAAAAATAGTTACTGTAAGATAAAAACATTTACAGATGTTGACTGGGCTAGATCTACAGATGATAGGAGGCAATTTGGTTACTTAAAAAAGCAAGAAGTAGAACGTAGTTGTATGAAATAGAATATAGAACAATGACCCAAGAAATATTTAAATTATTATGGTTGCAAAAAGTAATGAAATAATTAAAATTGTTCAAAGAATAGAGTCTATCCTTATTTTGTGACAATAAAACAGCCATTAGCATATCCTAACAATCTAATTCAATATAACCGAACAAAACACATTAAGATTTATCGAAACTTTATAAAAGATAAAGTAGTTGATGACTTTTTATGCCTATATCATGTGTCTTCTAGTGGACAAGTGATAAACGTCTTCATTAAAGGACTTTGCAACAAATCTGTCCATAACTTGGTTAAAAGTTGAGTATGTGTGATATTTTTGCACCAACTTGAGAGGAAGTGTTGACTAGAATATTTTGTTGCCCAATTAGTTGAGATACCTTTTCCTATATAATCATTTTCATAGTGATATAATTAATTAGAATCAATTAAAAACACTATTATAATATTAATTTCTTTATCTGTAGATAGGAATTCTGTATAAATACCACAGTTGTAATAACATAAGCAGTATAAAAAAATAAAGTTAATATTTTTTTCTCCAAAATCTACAGAATATCTAAGAATCAAATAAAAAAGCCTCATACATACTGTGACAACAAGACAATCAAAGCATTACACACAATCTAGTACAACATGACTTGACCAAGCATATCAAATTTGATAGACATTTCATCAAAGAAAAAAACTTGACAATGACCTAATATTTAAACCATAAATGCCTACTAATTTACAACTAGCAAATATGTTTACTAAAGGTTTAAGTAATTCAATATTTCAAACTCTCGTTGGCAAGCTGGGAATAGAAAACATTTATTCCCCAACTTCAGTGGGAGTATTAAAGGAAGTGTAAACTAAGCTAAAAGGTACAATAGTAAAATACTCAAATGTAATTAATTGTTTATTTTCTTTTTATCCTAAAAAATCTATATATATAAAGTTGTCATATTCAGTAAAAAATATATCAACCGTTCTTGAAACTCATTAATATTTTAAATCTTACTTCATTATCAATCTCTTAAAACACGTATTAGTTATCAAAATTTTAAAATATATTAACAGAATGCTTTTTAATTCTTTAATACATTAATTCTTAATTTCAACTGCATTTTCAATAAATATTTATATTAGTATTATCTAAGAAGTAAAATACTTTAAATTTTTTTGAATTTAAAATTTATTTAGGTTTTAATTTGTTTTGAAATCAAAAATATAAAATTATATTAATAAGCATTATAGAGATGTCAACACTACGCAAATTATTTATAAATCTAACAAAATGCCAAAAAGGTACCTAAAATAATCTAGAAAGAAAATGACCCAAAATCAAAAAACCAAGAGTATCGAATTATCTATTCCTGATCCTATCAAAATCTCCCTCATCATCAAACCCTCTCGAAAGCTTTTTTATTCCTGTCCTTCCAAGTTACTCAAAAGATGGTAGGCGGGATAAGATCTACATACTTTTTCTAGCCACATATCTCTTTCCAAACCCATAATTCATCTCTAACCGAACCTGGTATCACCCAACTGATACCTAATATTCCATAAATCATATACCAAAGCTTGTATGCAATCGAACACTATAGAAAAAAATGATTGCAAGATTATGCATCCTTTTTACACAAGTAGCAACCATTCACCATAGTGATTCCCCTCCTCATAAATTTTTCAATAGTCAGAATGTATTCCCCACCAGCCTCCCACATAAAGAACGCTACACTGGGAGGGATTCATTCTCATCAATATTTACATTAATATATTTACTTTTTTATATTAATGTATTTTAAATATTGAATTAAATTTAGTATTTGAAATATATAAAGGAACACTATGGTCACGATATTCATTCGATTAACATAAGTAAAAAGCTATAAATTAAACATTTACAGCACTTGTTGATTTACTTGCTTGAAAATTATTTCTTGTCTGGCCAAGAATACAACAGAACATGGACAATTGATTCTTCAGATTCCTATAGGTGTCTATTTTCATACCCTTAGCCAAAATCATCTTCCTTTCCCTACTAGCCTTTTTATAGGATTGAATTTGCTTTATTTCCTCAGACAGCTATTTAAAGTAAAGTAAAACACAAATGATTTTCTAAAAAAAGAAAAAAACTAACGATTTGCTGCACTCTCTTCGAACATGAGTGTTATGTGCCTCAAAATGAATAATCTTACCAGCATATAGGTGTTCTTTCTTAAAGTGGTAATTATCTATTAAAATTTGTACTTGATTAAAAACACCGAAATCATATAGTACATAAACTATTGATCACCTATTTCTCTACCTACACTTTATTTATTTTGTAGATTTTTTTATCAAAAAGTAAGGTATAACAACAAAAATTAAATGTGATACATATAATCTTTTATTTGTAACTGATAATTTTGATAATGACATTCTTACTTTGATTTTGTTTTACTCCTTTCCAACAAATGTTAGTTTATTGTAGATAATGATACTACAATTTAATTTTGTCCATAAAATTAATTCAGGAAACAGCCCACTTTAAACATGGAGCATTGAGATGGTTTTATCATATTCAAATGTAATATTTTTATATATTTTCATTAGAAACATTTTGACTTTTATATAGTTGTTTTCTTACATAAAATAATATTATTACAATTTTGTATATAATTATACAAAAAAAATTTGAAGTTATATCATGTGCATGCCACAAGATAAAAATCCAGTTTTAATTACTTAAAAATTCTACTGATTAATGTTCTTAGTCAAATAGTTTCTGGTGTAATTCAACCGAACATTTTTTTGTATTTTAGTCAAATAAAAAATATTGGAATTGACGCAAGCTAAATAAAAGATTTACCGAAGCACGATAAGCTGCCCCCTGCAAGCGGCTTTGCCAAACTTTCCTTGACTCAATAGACTTACACCTTAAAATTAGTGCATTGACATCCTCCACAACCTGGATATAAATGAATAAGCAGAAAAAAATATTCAGGTGACAAAATCAACTGGAATGAAATCTAACCAAATTCTTAAATTAAGATGCAATTACAAGCTTGTCATTGGAACGTGAAGTATCTGAAACAGCCAAGACATGTTCCACTCCTCCAACCAACTCTTCTGGAACTTGATATATCTGTTTCCCCCGCAAACTACAGAGCAAGGAGATTCACTAATGCAATTGGTAAGATAGAAAAGAAAGGGAAAGATTGTGTAAATCCTAGTACAGTACCAAAATATTATATTTTTTACACATGGCTCTGAATCAATTCAGACATTAAACTAATACCCGCACTTCATACAAAATGCCCAAGAAGATAAGACAGCCCAGCACTACCCTCCTTCCAAAGAAGGATGAAGTATAAACTACTTTCATTTTCCTTTTCTGTAAACCTCTATGCCAGTAAGTCATACCCTTGAATAAAAAACCATAAAGATTTTTGCATTCTTTTTCAACACAAAAAGCACCTAAAAAAGAAGGTGCTGCTTTTTCTTTCTTATCAAAACTTCCCTAACCCAAGGTTTTACAATTAGTTCTCACATGCTGCATCCTCTTTGAGCAGATGCACAAGCTTGATTAAATTTGTCAACTGACAGTTGATATTGTATTTGCACCTTCACCTGAATTGCAAAATAATAAACATGTATACCTTTAAGCAATTCATCCTGATTCAATTTTCCAACTCACCATGATATAATGCAAGCATCACCTTATGTTTCTGGCCCATGCTCCCAGGATTAATTACTTAAGGGCAATAGCAATTTCGCAATAAAGGAATAATAAGAAAACAACCATATTAGTCATCCAACTTTCTAGATACTAGATAGTTTATATAAATTTCTTTTTCTGATGTTTTTGCTCTTTCATGCTTTAAGGATCTTCAGACAAATCTTCACTTATCTCAGCTACAGCTAATCTAGAAATGCTGGAATCTGAACCTGATATACTTCTTGTAAGAGTTAGAACCAGGGCTTTCGAGCACATAGAGAAAAGGTCCAACTAAGCAGAAATATCGCTGCTGCCACACAGCTTCTCTGCCCTGTTATGTTGATAGCAAAATGCAAAGAAAAGATGGTAAAAGAACCTTCTGGAAATTTGTATCAAACACAAGATTTTTTCACTGGGAAGGGAACGGGGAGAAGAAGAGAAAATGAGGAAACCGAAACCTTCCAGGTAAGAAGTGGAAGCCATCCTTCAAAATCAGCTTGATCCCAAGGACGAAGGAAATTGGAGCTCTCACCATCCTTATCCTGGAAAATCTGTACCACTTGCATCAGCCTATGATACCGAGCTGGAGAAAAGTGAAATCCTAGGGTGGGTAGTCGCACAGCAAGTCTTGTTGAAGGGTACGACTGGTTGGGCATATGAATCTGTGCAAGTATGAAATAGGGTCAGTTGCAGTGACTTGATGGACAAAGATGCTTAAGTCAGTTGCAGTGACTTGATGGACAATGATGCTAAGCATGCACATTCCTTAGAGCTAAGGTAGTTATTACATTTAGACTACTACCTGTTGAAGTTTTAGGATTACTCCGCATTTATCAATAACAGGCAAGAAAGATCCACTAATTTTGTTGGTGGAACGAGCATGCTTATTGGAAGAGGCTAGATTCCAACAATAGTCACCATCAACCAGAAAAGCAGATACATCACTCAAAACCAAGTCAAACTGCATATACATATCCAACTCCTCAGATGATCTACATTCGTAGTCATCCTGTAAAAAATTTGGTGAACTCCCTGTGAGACTTAATTGGATTATCGAAATAAAATAATTAGGATGAACTCTATGCACTAACCTGTGAACGAATAACCAGATTTCCCAAGTCAAGCAGAAGGTTTGTTGAATGGATATCATCTGGACGAAATTCTGTTGGAATTGTTATTTTGGGAGCTGCGATATCAAAGTCCAGCCGGACCTAACACAGGTAAAAGACTTTTCATAAGAAATGTTATCGAGTAGAGTAGAAAAAAATTTAAAAAAAG